ATCCGTGCAAAAATATTAAATGCAGTTTTATTTGTAATGGCAAAGGGATGAAGACGACATGTTTGTACAATGATTGGAAAATGGCTAAACAAACTGTAATATATGAATATAATAGAACATTAATGCAGTATTAGGAATGACAGCTATGTAGAATACTAAGAAATATTGGAAGACGTAAAAAGTAGTAGAGTGAAGAAAGTATAACTAGGAATAATATGCACACACTATAATCATATAAAAATGATAGCAATGAAATTTAAAAAACATGAAAATAAAAGAAAACTACATTTTGTTATTTTGTTAGGATTATGATTAAGAGTTTTAAAAATTATAAATAATAATTTATAATTTATATAAAATAAATGTAAGTTTTTTTGTATTTTAATTTATTAGTAAATGGTTATCTCTTCAGTGAGAGTATATAAAAGGTAAAATGGATTTTTGACATTATTTTGTAATTCTCTTATGTGCTGATTCTCATTCTGTTTCACTTAACAGAAAGATAACTGAATCTCTAGCTCAAGAAGCTGCTCAGCATTTTCATACCTTTCTAGACATTCTGAACAGCAGCATTGTGAATGAAAATTCAGCCTTATTGGAGATGAGAGAGAGCCAGCTCAGTTTGGATTTAGGCTCTGGAAAATCAGTTGAGTTACGATAAAGATTTTTAAAAAAAATTTCACAGTCCTACAGCAATCTGTTTTTAGTTATATTTTTCAAGTAACTGTCTTTGACTTTTATTTATGTAGTACTGTCCCTTTGTGCCATAATTAAGTCATTTTAAGAGGACAGTTCAAGATGCCTTTCCCCTTGTGTTTATTAAGAGACTATTTCTAACTTTTCTCACACCCATAAAAATGCTAAATCTGAACTAATTTAAATTATAGTACAGAGAAATGTTGAACTTGGAACTCAGAAAAAATTCAAAATGATGAAAAAATTATAATATGACATTTGCATTTAACATACTAAATATATTTAACATACTAAAACTTTGTTATACAAGCTTCTCCATGCCTTTCTATCATGTGTATTATTTTGAGAGAATATGTCCAGAAGCCCAACAAGAATATAACTGAGAATATAATTTACTTCTAATTGTTATATGAAAAGTCTTCTTACATCCTAACTTAGTGTAGTATTAATAAATGTTTGCAGTTTACTCTGTAACTTATGATATATGAGATGAGATATAGTTTGTATACAGGTTAAGACTTCGTCTTCCACATCATTGAAAATTGAGGCAGTTATTTAGATGATTCAGACCAGAAGGCAACTATGGAGATGACCATCATTAAAAGCATATGTTTTGCATCTCAGTGCATTTGTTATTATGACATTGACTCTTACTATATGCATCTCCTTGGTAAAATCACAAAATACCTGGGGCTTAATTTTCTCATCTATAAAATGAGGAAGTTGGAATAGATGGCCTCTCCAAGGTCCCTTTGAACTTGAGATCTATGATCCTCTGATTTTATCCTGAGTTGTATATAAACATTTAAACTGCCTCTTATGAGTTTATAATATGAAACCAATAGCCTGTGATTAAGGTAGATTATTAAGGACACAAAAATAAATTGATATGTTAAATGAAATGTAGCATATAATGTAGTCTAAATGTTAGGTATATTTAACGATATATTAAGCACATAATATATTCCAGTCACTGGGCTAAGCCCTGAGGATACAAAGAATGAGAAAATAGTACCTTCCCTTAAGGTGCCTATATTTTAATAGGGGAGACGGTATGTATATAAATAGATATATGCAAAATACATATACCATAAATACAAGGTAACTTTAGAAAGAAAGGTGCTAGCATCTGGGAGGTTGCGGAAAGAATCCTTCGGATAATGGCATTTTAACTGAATTTTGAAGAAAGTCGAAGAGTCTAAGAGCCATTAGATGAGGAGGGAGAGCATCCCAGGCGTAAAGGATAGCCAGTTCAAAGGCATGAAGGTTGGAGATGGAGCATTATGTGTGAGGAACAGTAAGTAGACCACTGTAACTGAACCATACAGTACATGGATGGGGAGTAATGTCTAAAAAGAATGGAAAGATAGTGTGGGGCTAGGTTTTGAAGAGCTTTAAATACCAAACTGAGGAGATTCTATTTAATCCTAGAGGGAGCCACTTGAGTTTATTGAGTAGGGAAGTGGCATGATTAGACTTAGGCTAAACCACTTTGGCAGCTGTGTGGAGAATTGATTAGAAAGAGAAGAAAAAAGAGGGACCAGTTAGGAGGCTATTGCTGTAGTCTAAGTGAAAGGTGAAGAAGGCCTGAACTAGAGTAGTAGCTGTGTGAATAGAGGGTAGGGAAGGTATATGAGTGATATTGTGCAGATAGAAACAAACTGGCAACTGATTGGATGTAGTGACTGAAAGTGAGGAGTAAAATATGACATGGAGGTTGGGAATCTGAAGTGACTAGGAAAATATTGGTGCATTCACCATTAATAAGAAAGTTCAGAAGACATGTGGGTTTGGGATGAAAACAATGAGTTCTGCTTTGCACATAATGAGATATCCATGAGATATCCATGAGACATTTAATTTGAAAAGGCCAATAGGCAGTCAGTGATATGGAAATCAGGAGAGAAAATAGGCTAGATATTTAGATCAGGGAATCATCTGTACAAAGATTATAATTAGACCAATGGGAGACAATAAAGTCACCAAGTTAGAGTATTTAGAAAGAAAAAGAAAAGAGGTTCCAGGATAGATCATTGAGGGAGTATTCGCAATTAGTGGGTATAACATAGATGAAGATCAGCAAAGAAGGCTGAGAAGAAATGGTGAGATAGGTAGGAGAATCAAGAGAGAGCAATATCACAAAAACCCAGAGAGGAGAGAGTATACAGTAGATGGTCCATAGTGTCAAATGCTGCAGAGAGGTCAAAAAGGATAAGGATTGAAAAAAGCACTAGATTTAATTGTTAAGGGATCATTGGTAACTCAAGAAAGAACAGTTTCAGTTGAATAATAAGATCAGAAGTCAGATTATGGAGAGTTTAGACACACTAACTGTAGATATCTTTTTCCAAAACGTTTAGCTTAGAGGTGAAAAAATAGACTGATAGCTAGAAGAGATAATAGGATTCATGATGCTTTTTTTTTTTAAAGAGGGGGCAGACTTCAGCATGTTTGTATGCAACAGGGAAGGAACCATTAGATAGAGATTGAAGATTATCAAGAAGATAGGATGATTTTGGGGTCAATCTCTTTGGGAAGTCAGGAGGGGATGGGATCAAGGAAATATGGAAGATTGACCTTAGCAAGAAAACCAACTTCTTCAAGAAACTGGAATGAGAGAGGAGAGAATGTGTGATGATGTCAGGCAGATCTGAGATGAAAAGGAGAGAAAATGAAAATGTCTGCAGCAAAAAGCTTTAATCAGTGAAGATTGAGGTTCTTAGTTGAGATGATGGGTATGTCTTGGGAGGCTTGAGGAAAGAGGGGAAGGTTTGGAATAGCTGCTATGGTTAATAGGATAGAGAATCAACTAGAAAGGTTGTCTTGCGGTAGGAACAACCAATTGAGATTAAATAACAAATTTACAGTGAACTCAGCGAGCATGATTTTGTAACTTTTCAGCTCCATTCAGTTTCATGTGATAGGAGTAACAGAGGCAGATGTTTGGAGTAAATCCTTGATTAGGATTTGGAAAGTTGTGATCTGTGATAGGACAAAGGAGCAAAGTCTTCAAGAGTAGAGAGTAGTGTGGAATTGAATTGGTTCACCAGGGAGTTGAGATTAGTAAGGATAATGGCCTGGTACTGAGGGATAGAAGTCACAGTAAGGACAAAGAATAAGTTTAGCAGTATTAAGACATAAGGAGTGATGGAAAGATGAAAGATTATGAGAGGATAAAGGAATTCTGCATTTTGTGAGCATGAAAGTGGAACATTTGTGGGTTATGGCAAGAAGACCATTCCCGGGTATTGCTGAGGTGGGGTACTAGAAGAGGTCATGGGAACTGAGTAGTTTGAGGAGCTTAGAAATTAGAGTTTTTGAGGGAATATCAACATATATATTAAAGGTTCCCTAGCAAAAGGATAGGAGTTGAGGTGAAGAAGGAGACTATGAATCATTCAGTCAATCAATAAGCATTTATTAAGCATTTATTGTGTGCCAGGTGCTGTGCTAAGTACTGAGGACACAAAGAAAGGCCAAAGACAGTTCCTGCTCTCAGGGAGCTCATGATCTAATGGAGGAGAGAACATGCAAACATCTATGTACAAACAAGATAAATGCAACATAAATTGGAGATAACCAACAGAGTGAAGGAATTAGAATGAAGGGGGAATCAGAGCTTTCTGAATGGATCATGAATTTCAATAGAATGTACCTCAGAGAAGAGTTTGCTGAGTGATGGTAGTAGAACAAGAATCTGAAAGTGGCGATAGGGAGCAAAGAATATTGATTTCCCCACCAGGGCCCATGAATTGGGGAGATGAGAGAAAGTGTCATATAGATGAAACCAAATTTCAATGAATTTCAGAAGACGTAAGATGAAATGAGTTTCAGAAGATGTAAAATGAAAAAAATCTGAAGTTTGGGGAAGTTTGTTAATTAAAGATTGGAAGTTCCAAAGGATATACAGTGAAAGGGGGAGGCAGATCTGGAATGAGAAGTTGAGGAGGTCAGGTTAAAGCGTACAGGAATAAGGGAGTAGATAGCATCAGTTGGAGAGGGTAATTTGTTCTTCAGCAGTGGGATTCAGTATCACTAGAATAAGAATTAGTTCAGGCACAATATGATATGCTTATTGAAAAAGGATTCATGTGAATTGCATGTCAAAAAGTAATCACATTCTATTATCAGAATTATCAAGAAAGCTTTATGGTGTGTGGGTTTTTTTAGATATTATTTGAATGATGGGATAGGGACAGTTTGATGGATTAGAGGTTCGATTTAATATAAATAGCCTTTTTTTCTGAGGCATTTTACAAAATGAAATCAAGTGTAGACTCTTTTTCACAGGATGAATATTCAAGCATTACAGTTGGAGCCAATGAACAAGAAACTTCTTGGCTAGAAAAGAAAAACCGTGAGGTATGTATGTATACATACATACATACATAAATGTGTGTGTGTGTTTTCATATATAGAGAGACAACTGAGTGATGTAGTGATTAGAGTTCCTGACCTGGAATCAGGAAGACCTGAGTTTAAATCTGGTCTCAGACACTTACTAACTGTGTGACTTTGGGCAAGTCATTTAACCCCTATTTGCCTCAGTTTCCTTAAATGTAAAATGGGAATAATAATAGCACCTATTTCCTAGGGTTATGAGAATCAAATTAAATAATATTTGTCAAATACATAATAAAGTGTCTGGCACATAGTAGGCACTATATAAATGTTACCTATTATCACCATCATCATCATTATTTTGTAGTTATAGTTTTATAATTGATGGCAGAGACAGGATAAGAAATTTATGCATCCTTTGGCAACATTTTAAAATTATGCCTATAACACATAATTACTGTATATTAGTGTCCACTAGTGGCTCTTAGTCTTTAATGCCATCTGTAGTCTTTCTCTCCTTCCCTACCCATGTGTTCCAGGTCGTTAATCTTTTCAACTCTCTTGGGCCTACCTCAGTCACTCTCATATTTTACCATCACCCATACCTCTGGCATTGCTATCATCTCATTCTGAAAATTTCCTCTGTAATCACAGGCCATCTCTCTCTTTTTCTTTGTTCCTCCTAACCTATTCTTCTTCATTACTGAGACCTCCAGTTCTTCCATCCCTCTCCTAAACCATCACCTCACTTTTCTCCCTCCATAGTCTTGTCTCTATAGTTGATCAGTTCAACTATTCACTCTTCTACACCCTTAAATACCTTGCCTTATCATTATTCCCATCCTGCCAGTCCTCAACCCTGGGTTCCACCTACCATCTACCTTTATTCCTACTCTCATGTTGCTAAATGTTGCTGGAGGAAAACATGCAACTGTGCTAACTATATCCAATATAAATTTATGTTGTGTTCTCATAATCTCGACAATAACCTCATTGTTCCATGGCAATCTTTTTTATTTTTCCCTGATTATCACACTTCCCACAGCAACTGTTCCAAACCTCCTCTCTCTTTCAGCCCTTTAGATGACCTCTAACCCCATTTATTCATAGTATTTATCTCACCTTACTAAGAAAATCAAGGCCATCCACCATGAGTTCTCTCTTCTACCATGCTCTTCACTTTCAAAACTCCTCTATACCTTTACCATCCTTTCTTCATTTGCTCCAGCCATAAATGGCCCCATCTCCTTGTGAGGGCCAACCTTTTCCCCAGTACCCTTGATCCCAACCTCTCCTGTTTCCCCAGTGATGCCTATAAAGATACAACTGTTCTTATAATTTCTTGACTACAAAAAGAATTCATTTGGTACACCAAGGTACCACCCTAAAAGCTCTCTTCCGATAAGACATTTTTCATGCATATTTCAAAATTAAACAAGATTCCTTGTTAAGATGTAACAACAGAGATAATCTTATTTGATGATTCTAAGATCCTGCCTCATGTGAGGCATAAAAATAGGAGATACATACTTGCCAATGAAATTCACCAGTACATACAGAGATTCAGTGCAAAGCCCAACTTAAGGAAGGATTCTGGCTTCTAGAAGCTTCTGTTTGCAGATTAACATAGACCTAGAACATAGTAGTGACTCCTAGAAAAGATACAAAACCACTTTTAAAAAATTGAGCCTAACTGTCCACATAGAAGTGAATGAAGAATTATTGTTGTCCAGACTATAATGTGGTTAACAAGATAACTTATAAAGCTTGTCTGTGGACATAGCAAATGATAAGTTAATTAGGTTCAGGATTAAAAAGGAAGAGACCAGGCTGATTTGCCATTGGGAAATTTAAAAATTATATAAACTGACCTGAAACTTCTTCCTGAAATGAAAGCCTATTTTTAAAAAGTCAATGAGATCAATATTCTACCACTTTTTTAATATGGCAGCAAAACATAGAACATTATATTCTCTGAAGAATTTAGAGGGCAATGGTGAGATGCACAGTGGGTGTGAGAAGACTTCAATATATTGCAAAAGAGGAATTATGGCAAGATTCAGTAGTCAGTCCTCTCTCTGATCTATCGTCCACATAACTACAAAAGTGATTTTCCTAAAGCACAGATCTGACCCTATCATTTATCTGCTTAATTGACTATATGATTTCCATTTCTAAAAATCTTCTTTTTTTTTTCCAGCCAGAGAAAAAGTTTATTAGAGATAAAACATATAGGCCAGATTCTTAAGGAATCTGAACATTAGTAACTCCCTTAGGGACGAGCGGGCATGAGAGAGTCTCAGCCTTCTGGGCATGAGAAAATTTCAGCGTTTGCATGGGGGACAGGGTGGATCTTATATACACTAAAGTAACTTTGAGTGGCCAGAGGAGGGGGCTGGGAAAAGGGTCTAGATGAGAATTCCGATTGGAAGGTCTGAGAGATTGAATAGACAATGGGAATAGATAATGAGAGGGATTGGAAGGAAGAAGTTTGAAAGGCATCTGCATAAAATCAAAAGGTGGGGCCAGGGCTTTCAAAGGGAGATAAGGGGAGTCCATCTAAAAATCTTCTAACTTAAACAATTTACCTGATCACTTATTCATTTTAATTTAACTAGACATTATGTAATTTCGTAAGATCATAGATTAAGAGTCTGAGGGGAACTAGAGATCATCTGGAGTCTCACACTTCAGTTTTCTTAGAATGAATCTGAGACAGGTTTAGTTGACTTACCCAAGGTCACATAGGTAATGAGCAGCAGAGCCAGGTGAGTCCACATTCAGGGCTTTCTCCATGGGAACACTGACTCCAAATTTTCAATTTTCAATTTTCCTTCGTACAATAACTTGACAATTTGCCTGTGTCAAAGCTGTCTTTTTGCTTTCTTTCACCACTACTGAAAAAGCACAGACTAGAGAGAGATAAATTGTTGTGATGAGACCTTTTTACCTTCAGTTTATAATTTCTTTTCATTTTTGTGCACTCTTTTCTTTAGAGTTATACTTTTAAAAATATACCTTGTATTCATTTTGGGGGCCATTCTTGCTTTCTTTCTAAGTGTTCTATTTGTTATATTTCAGGCTATTAGAAAAGAGGTTAAGGAATTTAGTGAAAAAAAAAGAGAACTAAAACAAGGAATCAGAGCACTGGCTAAAACTGTAAGTGTTGTGACTCCTACTCCAATACTGTGCCTGTAGTCTCACATGATCTGTCCTACTGAATTTTCCGTGATAGGCATGTAGAGTTTATGATTTCTCTTCCTATTCTGCCTGTAAGCTCGCTTTTCTGCTGTGTAAGTTAGTTGCCACCCATGCTCAGCCCAGAACCTGACACACTTGATAGTAATTATCAGTGATAAAGGAAGAACAGAGCAAAATATGTAAGAAAATGAAAAATGGTTAGGTCCTTGTTATTAAAGGAATTTTGTGAAATAAATGTTACATTTTTTGGTTCTCTTCAATGTTTCTGAGGTAGCACAAGTTCTTGAACAGAACAAATGATAATGCAATGTGCTCTGAAATGAGAAGCAGTTGTAATCACCTACCTGAGAACAGCCTCAAGGAACTAGTGACTCAGCCCAATAAAACTCCAAGATTTTGGTGAATAGCAACATTGTGTGTATGGACTCAAGGAAAGAACTCTAAAGCTGAAATTGTCTACTTGTCACCAACATTTTCTGTGTTTTAATTCAGATTCAGGAAATGCTGGAAGAAAATGATTTGGTACCTCAAATTGCACAACTAAAACAACAAGAATTTTTTCTGGATGTTGAAGAAATGAAAAAACTTTATGCTGAAAATGATGAAGAAGTAGCACAGGTATAGGAGAATTTACTTCAAGCATCATTGTTTTATAATTATAGACATGAACAAGAAAGGAGGAAAGAGCAAAATGAGAAATTTTCCAACATAATAAGAAAACAAATGTGTACATAAATGGGATCTAAAAATAATAAACAGTTTCATGCATTTGCTGTACTCCCCCACCATCTTCTCGACAGCTGCCTTGCCACATGAACCCTCTGTCCCTTCCAGTTCTGGAATCATAATCAATTCAGTACTGTCATTGCTACTGGGAAAAGATGTGTTCATCTATTCCGCTATGGCTCTACTCACCATCCCTGAACTGACTGTAACTTTCCAAACTGGAATATCACTCCCGGCCACCACTCCTTAGATGAGTTATCTTCCTTTATGAGATTGTAAACTCCTTGGGGATAGTGACTGTCTTTACTTTTTTCCCCTATATCCCCAGGGCATAGCACAGTGGCTGGCACCTATTTAAATTTTTTTTTTCATTAATTCAACAAATACTTACCAAGAATCTACTATGGGCATAATACTGTGGAAAGTAAAAGGGGAGTTATAAATAAGAATAAAATATATTATCTTTTGGAAAGCATTAGCACCAGATCCTGGGTTGTAACAGGACAGCTCACGTCTTAATGATAATTTTATCCTTCAAAAAATTGGAGGAACCAACAGGGTTCTAGATAGAATTCTAGATGGAATTCCATTCTAGATATAATTCTAACAGGGAAAAACTACTTTCTGGTGTGGAAAAGATGGAAACCATGGGGGAGAAGTGACCATTCCATCTTAGATGAGAAGGAGAAGGAAGCAGGGCAAAATCTGAAGTGTACATTTGGAGGGCAGGTTTCAAAGTATTCAGAGAAAAGTTAGGCAGAATTCCATAGACTATAAAAAGTCAGCCTGTCAGGGATGGGAAACTTCTAAGAATGAAATTCTGAAGTCACAAAGGGAAATAATTTCAATGAAGAAGACAAGCTAGAATTGTCCAAAGAGACCTATATGAATATACAAAGAAAGGCCCATCCAACTGAGACTTTTAAGAGTGTGTACTGAGAATAATAGGCACCCTACTGCAAGAAAGGTGTCAGGAGACCTTCAACTGAGTGATCTGAGGGCTAGCAAGGGAATCTTAAAGGCAACCAGACAGGAGCTTTTTCTCTATTTTTTTTCCTATGTTGGGAAAAGAGGATCAAAGAGGGATAGGATCCTCTCAAGGCAAAACTCTGAGCAGTAGGTAGAGGCTGCAAAGAGGTGAATTTAGGTTTGGTGTCAGGAAAAATTTCCCAACCATTTGAGCTATGGCAAAGAGGATTGGGCTGCCACAGGCAGTAAATGAGCTAATCGGAACAAGGCTGATCTCTCTTTCACATGTTAGCCTTTCAAGTGGCAGTGGTCATGTCCACTTTGAATCTTCTCTTCTGCCACTAAAAATCTCCAATTCTTTCAGTCTGTCATGTGGCACGAATTCATTCCCCATCCATTTTGTCCTTCTCTGAAAGTTTTCCTTTGTATCCGTGTCTTTTCTAAACTGTGGCACCCAGAAGTGAACATGATACTTCAGGTGTGCTCTGCCAGCAAAGAGTACAGAGACTGTCATCTATTTGCTTCTGGAAGCTATGCCTCTTTTAATGTAGCCCCAAATTCAATTAGTTTCTGTGGTTGCCATATCACATTGTTGAATCATATTGAGTTCTCAGTACACTTAAAATCCCAGATATGTTTCTTCTATCTTGTGTTTGTAACCTATCTTGTGTTGTTAACCCATTACATTTCATTTTGGGGCAGGTAGGAGGCACAGTGGATGATGGCACTAGGCCTGGATTCTGGAAGATCTGAGTTCAAATCCAACCTCAGACATTTACTAGCTGGGCAAATCATTTAAGTCCTATTTGCCTCAGTTCCTCATCTATAAAATGGGGACACATTGGAAAAAGAAATGGCAAATCACTCACTCCAGTATTTTTGCTAAGAAGACCCCATGGATGAAGTCCACATAGAGTCAGACATGACTAAATTACTAAACATTTCATTTTATTAGATTCATTCCAGTGTTCTGATGTGTCAATGACTTTTTGGACCCCAACTCTTATCACACACTGCATTAGATATCCCTCTCAGAGCTGTGTATCACCTACAAATTTGATAAGCATGCTGTTTTGCTTTTATCCAAATCAATGGTAAAAAATGTTTCTTAGAGTATCCATCCAAGGATCCATCCCTGGCACTAGTGGAGACCTCCCACCAGACTGTCATAGAACCATTTAATGCTAATCCCCAAAAGCGGGACTCTGTGATCACTACTTCCTTTTCTAGCTGTTCCCTAATCATTTCTTTATAATACATCTTAGGATTTTGATCAGAATCAAAGCCAAGGTCACTGGTCTATAGTTTCTATTTACTTCCAGATTCCATTCACTTCCCGCTCGCCACCCCCATTTCCCCAGTCTGCTTTTTAAAATGGAGACTTTAACTTGTCTCTAGTCTTTTTGTACCTCTCTTTTTTTACTATTCATAGCTCTCTTTGTTCTTTGCACAGATCTTTCAAAAGATTACTGATACCAGTTCAGCAATTGTACATCAATTCTTTCAGTGTTGGGACCACAGGAACTTTGATTCATCCATGCACAGTTAAATGTTCTCTTACCATCTCCCAACTTATCTTGGTTAGGAACTCCCTATTAGTCATTTTTCTTCTATCCTTTCTTGGCGGAAAAAAGCAAAATAAAAAACAAAATCAGAAGCACAGTCAGAATTGCGCAGCCTTATCTGCCTCATATCTGTTGTCAGTTATCAGCACACCATCTGTTTCAAGCAGCAGTTCTGCATGTTTTTCCATCTTTCTCTTTTCCACAATATACTTAATATTATTATTGTGGCCTTAAGTTTTCTTCAGTAGCATTAGCTCACCCTGACACTTTTCTTACAGTACTCTGCCCACTCTTGTACTCACCCTTTGTATTTGCCTTTATTTTCATCTTCTCTGCTTAACTTTTTTTTTTTGTAAGGCAGTCGGGAGTTAAGTGACTTGCCCAAGGCTACACAGCTAGTACATGTCAAGTGTTTGGTCTGAGGCTGGATTTGAACTCAGGTCCTCCTGACTTCAGAGACGGTGCTCTATCCACTGCGCCACCTAGCTGCCCCCCTGCTTAACTTTTAAAAAAAAAATTTAAATTGCTTGAGGATTTCTCTGTGTATCCATATAAGTCTCTTCAGACAACTCCAGCTTTTTATCCTCATCAGAACTCATTCTCTTTGTGACTTCAGAATTTCATTCTTAAGAGGTTCCTATCCCTGGTGGGCTGACTTCCTCTGTCCATGGAATCCTAACTATTCTTTCTCTGAACCTTCCGAAATTTGCTTGCCAAAACCCTATGTCCTTTTTCCCTAACTCTCATTATCACAAATTCTAAAATGGAATGGTCACTTCTCTTCCAAGGTTTCTGTTATTTCCATCCCAGAAAGCATTCCTCCATGTTAGTGAGAATCAGGAGTGGAATTACCCCTTGTTGGTTCAAACCTTCAACCTTTTAAATGATGAAATCATTAAGGCAAGTCAGACAATAAACAAACATTAACAAGCAGCAACAAGCAAGTGCTTACTATATTCCAGGAATTATGGTAAATTCTGAGGCTATAAAGAATGTAGGAAAACATAGTTCCTGCCCTCAATGAGCTTACATTTTAATGGGGTGTGGGAGGGACAACATGCTCCATAAAAGAGATAGTGTAAATGGGAGCTAATCTCAGAGGGAAGGTACTAGCAGTTTTGGGGGGGGAGGCTCCTCTTACAAAAGATGGGTTTTGAAAGGAAGCCAGGAAAACCAAAAGTTGTAGGTAATGAGAGCATTCCAGGAATGGAGGGAAAGACATGGAGTTAGGAGATGCAGTATCATGTTTGAGGAACAACAAGAAGGCCAGGGACACTAGATCAGAGAATACATGGAGGAGAGGAAAGTGTAAGAAGACTGGAAGGGTAGGAAGGGGCCAGGTTAAGAGATTTAAAAGCCTTTAAAATTGATCAGGTAGGTGGGGTGTGACAAGGTCAGATCCATTCTTGAAGGAGATCTCTTTTACAGCTAAGCAGAGAACAGGCTGAAGTGAGGAGTGTCTTAAGGCAGGGCTATTGAAGTAGTCTAGGCATGAGGTAATGAAGGCCTACATCATGGTGGTGGCAATGTGAGTGGGAGAAAAAGGGATGTGGTGAAACTCAAGGAATTTGCATTCTAGTAAGGACAGTCAGGTGATACAGTGGATAGAGCACCAGGTCTGGAGTCAGGAAGACTTGAGTTCAAATCTAGCCTCAGATACTCAGTAGTTGTGAGACCCTGGTCAAGTCACCTAACCCCATTTGCCTCAGTTTGCTCATCTGTAAAATGAGCTGGAGAAGGAAATGGCAAACCACTCCAGTATCTTTGCCAAGAAAACCCCAAATGGGGTCATGAAGAGTCAGACATAATTGAAGTGACTGAAAAGGGGAAGGCAAAACACAAAGAGGAGCTGATAAGCCTGAGGCAGCTGGGGGTGGGGGTGGGGTGGGGAGTGAGACAGGTCTGCCTAGGGTTTCATCAAGTCAAGGAGCAGCCCTCAGAGTGCAGTCATCCTGAGGAAGGCAATACAGATGGCAGGGGGAAGGTGACAGTCTGGTTTAGCTGCTCCGCCTTTAGGAGGGAGGAAGAGAGAGAAACAGAGAGAAGGAGGAAAGGAGAGTTAGAGAGAGAGAAAGCGATGATATTATAAGAATTGAAGTCTTTTATCATTATTACATCAAACCTCTATGCCACACTTATGATCTATTACCTGAAGAGAAAATTGCTTTACTTTGTCCTTTTATTGACCTTTACCCAAATGGCTTTCAACTATGCTTTCTCTGATTACTGTACTTCTTCGCGTGCGTATACCTTTTTAATGCATAATGCTATCCGCTTTTCCTCTCTTTTCTCCATAATGCTTTATTTGGGGAAAAAAAATGCCCCCAGAGCCATATTGCAATCATGAGTTTCATCCTACCAAGGCTCAGCGATATCTGTGAGGTCAAATTTGCCTCCTTGTGTTAGGACTTCTAGTTTGTCTTGCTTGTTTCCTTACATTGGTGCATTTGGAAATAGATATTTTCAGTCATGGGTTTTACTACTGGCTCCTTTCTTAGATATTGACTCCAGTGCCCTTCCTGGTGCTCAACAGCTACTCTTTCCGTGTTATATTTTTATCTCTGTGGAATTGAGCAGTTTTCTCCTTACCCCATCCTTTTCAGTTTTAAAAGGTTTGACTAGATTTGTAAAACACCAGGCAAATGCTAATTAACCCTCTTTAAGAGCATACTGTCCCTGCAATGGACCTGTTACCTTGGGGTTGTTTACTCTGTTGGTGCAGATCATAACCCATCCATGCTCTTCTCATCCTGTTGTTCTTACTCATATTATTATATAGATCCTCCATAGAGGCTGCATGTGTGTGTGTGCACATATATGCATGATGTTTGTCTATATCTCCATGTCAATTACCATGTTAGTAAGTTCTACATATGTGACTTTTTGAAACCATTACAATTTTTTTTCTTACAGTTAAGAAAAGAAACAGAAATGGAAAATCTAGCTAAGATGTATTTATGGAACATTTTAAAAGAAGAATGCTGGGATTCCATGTGCGTAAAAAGTCAAGGACTTATGGTGAATATTCTAAACATATTATCTCAGTTATTAATAACCTCAGAAGTAATACCCATTGAAGCTAAAAGTAAAACAATCCTTCCAAAGCTCAGAGCACTGCCTGTTCAGTCCCTTATAGAGCTTTCCCAGCACAGTACCTATGATCTGTCTTCTTCATTTAGACCCTTTCTGCTTTGGTCCATTTGGGCTTTCAAACTAATTTCTCCCCATATTTGTCTTTTCTCCTTTTTTCTTCCACTCCTTAGTAATGCTTGCAATTACTTTTTCATTTCTGATCTGTTCTTTCATAGATTTTTCTCTCTAAAAATCATGTCAAAGATAATGTATACCAAGAACATATTTACAATGACCCTTTGTCATGGTCTCATGTCTTCTAATAAAAATTTGGCCAGAAGAAGAAAGGGCTCTGTAAGGTTTTTTTGAGGATGCATTTGTAAGTAATCTTGTGACACAGAGTAATCATCACTTGACCCATGAGTATTCTTTTGTCTAAGAATTTGGAGAACTTGTAGTACACTCTGGTGGTACTGAAGACTTTCTGAGGGACTTAGACAGCCCTAGTGAATATAAAGACATACAGTGAAAGTCAGATCTATATTGCTTTGCCATAAACAAATCTTAACAGGTTCTCTGACTCTCTTTACTTTCAAGACACATACCTCTGCAACCACAGTATAATTGGTCAGCCTATAGCAAACCTACTTTTATGGACTACTTAAAAGCTTCCTTGAAATGGAAGGCTTGTGTTCTTGTTAGGGTTACTGATAGCAGGTGCTAGCTTCCTAATCCCACAGAGCATCTGACTTGCATCATTCCTTTCTGGAAAGGGCATGGTCAAAAATCACATGGAATGAAAAACCCTGGATAGTTTACAATCTACCTTGATATGGCGACTATCCACACTGATAAAATCACACATCCAACAAAAAAAATTAATGAATTTGTCCTGTATGTATATTTTTTGTACATTGTGTTCACATGTATCACTTATAAGACTTTGAGCTCTTTGAAAATAGAAACTGTTTTTGTCTTTCTTTGTATCCCCAGTGCTTAGGACAGTGCCTGGAATATAGTAGATGCTTAATAAATACTTATTGATTTGACTTGATTTTTCATTACTTCAACTCACTGCAGTAGACTTGAGACCTTATCAAGTGGCTGTTTACCCAGATTATAGCCCATCCATGCTTTCCTGTGTAATTCTTCTCCATTTCATTTTATAGATCCTCTAGGCAGGGGTGGGGAAACTGTGGGCCTTGAGGCTACATGTGACCCTCTAGGTCCTCAAGTGCAGCCTTTTGACTAAATCCAAACTTCATAGAACAAAGGGATTCAGTCAAAGGTCTGTACACATGTGGCGTTGAGGTCACAGATTCCCTACCCCTGCTAGAGAATCTATACTTAATAACTGGATGGTTTCCTCTACACTTTTTTAATTAATTAATTAATTTTTAGTTTTCAACATTCATTTCCATAAGATTTTGAGTTTTAAATTTTCTCCCCCTCCCCTCCCCAAGATGGCATGCAATCTGATATAGGCTCTACTTATACATTCATATTAAACATATTTTCATATTAGTCATGATGTAAAGAAGAATTAGAACTAATGGGAGGAACCACAAAAAAGAAAAAAACAAAAGAAAAGGAGAGCAAATATTATGCTTCCATCTGCATTCAGACTCCAAAGTTCTTTTTCTGGATGTGAATAGCATTTTCCATCATGAGTCTTTTGGAGTTATCTTAATTGCATTGCTGAGAAGAGCTAAGTCTGTCAAAGTCAGTCATCACACAATGTGGCTGTTATTGTGTGCATTGTTCTCCTGGTTCTGCTCACTTCACTCAGCATCAGTTCATATCAGACTTTCCAGGTTTTTCTGAAGTCCACCTGTTCATCATTTCTTATGGCACAATAGTATTCCATTACATTCATATACCACAACTTGTTCAGTCATTCCCCAACTGATGGACATCCAATTTTTTTCCACCACAAAAAAGGCTGCTATAAATATTTTTGTACACGTGGGTCCTTTTCCCATATTTATGATCTCTTTGAGATACAGCTCTGGAAGTAGTATTACTGGGTCATAGGGTATGCACAGTTTTATAGCCCTTTGGGCATAGTTCCAAATTGCTCTCCAGAATGGTTGGATTCGTTTACAACTCCACCAACAATGCATTAGTATTCCAATTTTCCTACATCTTCTCCAGTATTTATCATTTTCTGGTTTTGTCATGTTAGCCAATCTGATAGGTGTGATGTGGTACCTCAGAGTTGTTTTGATTTGCATTTTTCTGATCAATAGTGATTTAGAGCATTTTTTTCATGTGACTATAAATAACTTTACTTTCTTCTTCTGAAAACTGCCTGTTCATATCTTTTGACCGTTTGTCAATTGGGGAATGATTTGTATTGTTATAAATTCAACTCAGTTCTCTATGTATTTTAGAAATGAGGCCTTTATCAGTGACACTGGCTGTAAAAATTGTTTCCCAGCTTTCTACTTCCTTTCTAGTGATGGCTTTATTTGTGCAAAACCTTTTCAATTTAATGTAATCAAAATCATCCATTTTGCATTTTATAATGTTCCCTATCTCTTATTTGGTCATAAATTCTTCCCTTCTCTGTAGATCTGACAGGTAAACTATTCCTTGCTCTCCTAGTTTTCTTATAGTATCATATCTAAATCATATAGATGGTATTTGCTAGTTTTTTTTAAAATTTTCACAGTACCAAAGGAATATGTGGGCTCTCATTTGTTATCCCTCATTGACAATATGTGATTGGCCTACCTCCTTTTCCAATTATGCATTTTCTCAGTGAAAACTATTAAGTCATTTCTTGAGCATCAATCACAACTAGAACTATGCAGCAGCTTACTTACATCCCTATACAATTCTCCATTACCCCTTTGGTCACCTGCAACTTTAATTTCTCAGGGAATGTAGTGTCTTAAAATTATCACTTGGGAGATATTTGTGTTGAAAAATTGAGTTTTTGCATAAAGGAACATATTGGGGTTGTTAAAAGAACTGCACAATTTCCCAAATATAATACAGCCGTTCTCTTCCTCTTATTCAATTTGGTGCTTAACTCACTGTCCATCTGTAGTGTCTATTACACACACACACCAAAACACACACACATACACACACATTTCCTCCTGTACTCACTCAGTGAGTGGACTGCATAATGACTGCATATTGACAAGACCAAATTGATTTTATATTATTTTTATTGATCCTATTTCTAGTTAATTGATTTTTGTCCTGTAACTACCTAAGTCACAATTCTTTGTCTCTGAACTTAGTTCTGAAATTCAGCTGGCCTGTAATGAGATAAGTTTAAAAATCCAGTTCTCCTGCTAATCACTGTTCTATTCTTGTCTCAAGGAAATCTTTTATTCTTGGGGGATGTGGATGAACACCAGGGAGTCGAGTCTAGTGTCTTTACATCATCAAGCTATCATTCTTAGATATCCACTACCTCTAACTTTGCAAACAATGAACTTTTCTTAGTCACAGGAGGGAAGGAGGGGGTTGTTGCTAGCCCCTCAGTCCCAGTTTCCAACCAATCATATTGTCCCCCATGCCTCATCTCTGTAGCCTATCCTATTGTCCTCACTCTGACGATGTTGCCAGCCCTGTACCCAATCATAACTTGTTCCCCACCTACAAAATCCTGTTCTTTGTTCTATACTCCCCAAAAATCATAAAAAGGGAGCTGTCCTTCTGTTTAGGGTCTTTGGCTTCACTGAGGCAGTCATTTATCTACTTTATTAACAGATGCCCTATCATCTTGCTTGGAGAGAATATGCCTCAGTCTACCTTTTGTTGAATTTTATTCACGACAGTATTTAATCTGGATGATGGGATTTTTTCATCCATTTCATTTTTCCTTTTTGGTTGTTTTGCCACTCTGTTTCAAAAACTCTGAGATTTCATTGAGAGGTTTCATAATGTTTGGGAACTTGATTCAATCAGTCCAATATCTTTCACACAAAAAAGTTTATAGAGGACCTCACCATCAACAGGACTCTGTTCAAGGCATCCCCCATAACAGTAGTGAACAATTTGGGAAAGCATATATCTCCCTGTTTTATGTCTCAATTAATGTTAATAATCAGAAGATTGTTGAACAAAGTTGTCTCTCTGGTTTCATTTATCAAAGAATCTTATATGATCTTAATATATTCATGAGATAATCCTTGTTGGAAGAAAACCTTTAAGATTTCATTTTACTCTACTAAGTCAAATGAATTGTAACCGACAAATAATAAACACAGACTCCTGTATTATATGCCCTTCAGTCAATTGTGTATCTGTAAACACATGCTTGCTTTAGAGACTTGTTTGAGAAAACCTGCCTGTTTCATTCTCGTATTTTCATTAAGAAAATCCTCAATTCTCATGTAAATAGAAAAAATTGAGGCCATCTGTCATGGCTCCTCTTTTCTCCTCAGCTTTGTAAATCAAATCACCTTTGTATCATGCCCCACTTCTCCTTTGCTCTGGTCTGGGGGTAGTTGGGGCAGATGGGTGGGGGAGTGAGCCACCTTCTTGCAAATGCTAGCTGTCCTGCCTGGCAGTCTCATTTACTGTATCCGCTCTTATATGAATGGACCCCTAAGTCTCTGTCCAGAACATTCTTTTCTTCTCTCTCTATATTTTCTTTATTGGTGATCTCATTCAAATGAGATCCAGATTTAAACATCAAACTCCAGTCTCTCTCCAGAACACCACCAGGAACCAATTAAACATTTTGAACTAGGTATCCTATAGGCATATCAAATTCAGAACTAATCAACTTTCCTATCAAACTCTGTCCACTTTCTAGCTTCCCTATATCCATCAAATGTTCCCAATGAGATGGTTATCTTCATCTTTCTCCTCTTCATCACTCCTCACATCTAGTTGATGGGGTATGGGCCCAAGCTGAGACCTTTGCCCCTCACCCCAAAAAGAATCCAGGTCCCATTTGTCTATGGGCCCCAGAAAACCCT